AACTCTTAACTGCAGGGCTATTCACCAAATATTTCTGGCTTTCTAACTTCAGGCCACAGAGTCAGATTATATTTTCTAGCTTGTTGAAGTCAGGTGGGTTTGCTGGAAGTGACATGTGCCCATTTGACCTTCCAGAGCCTTCTTTTTCTCTGCTACAGTGAATGACTATTCAGATAGTGACTCCTCCACTGACTTGGGTCCTGGATTGAGGACAAAGATGACACAGAGCAGAGCCCTCAGTAAGCAAGGACTAGGCATTTAAAGGAGCATGAAATAAACCTTCATTGTTTTAAGCTACTGAGATTTGGGAGTTATTTGTTAATGTACCTCACCTGGCCTCTCCTGACTGACAAGCTCAAGGTCACTCAGTTTGGAAGTACTTATTGGCTTTGAATCCATGTCTGTCTGGCTTGTTGTCAAGCCAGTGCCAGATGGCCATCCATGGACCTGTAGGGGCCCATAGCAGGGTCATGAGTAGTGCAGTAGATTTGGGTGTCATCTATACAGTTGGGAGAGGAAGCAGAAGAATAAGGACTGGGGAGTTAGTCTGTGGACTTTGGCATGAGGCTTATCTCTCTCCCTCATGTTTTTTCTCCCCTGACGGTTTGTGGTTGGCTCCACATGCCTGCTAAGTAAGTAGGACATCATTGCTGGCTGCTGGGTCTGATGGTTCAGAGACATTGGCTTGAGCTTGTCGACAGCTGCATACTCATAACATTGCTAAAAACTTCATAAACTCTGAAGTCTGGAAATAGCCCAAGTGATTTGAGGCTTTGCTCACTTGTAAATGTTTGAGTATTGTGTCCACAAATTGCAAATTGAGTAACTCAATTTTGAGGCACAGCTGTTATTTGGAAAAGACCCATCTAGGAACGCAAACTCCTTGCAAAATGATTGTGCTTCATTTTTGTCAAGTATCAGAAAACCGTTAAACTGCCAAGCCATATGGCAAATGCCCACTCGAAGCAGAGTGCGACAGCGCACCATAATGAATCTGTTTTGGGGGGAAGGAGATAGGACAAAGTCTGGCTTTTGTGATCCACAGAAAAGCAGATTCACTGCTGCACATTTCAGCCTTCTAGAGTCCTGAGTAAGGATTTTTCCTCCTATGAAAAATTCATATAAAAAATTAAGTGATGGTAGAATTTTTTGTTAGGTGTATTTTCCCTTTCAAACAATATCCATTTGAGTTTCTGTATGTAAAATAGGTTTAACAGGGACAATAGAAACTTAAAAGTTCACACACTTTTAATTGCTTTATATCCAAATTCATTAAACATTCCTTATGTGTGTGTTAGTTGCTCAGTCATGTCTGACTATTTGTGATCCCATGGACTGTAGCCCACTAGGCTCCTCTGTCATGGGACTTCCCAGGCAAGAATACTGGAGTGGGTAGCCATTCCCTCAACCTAAACTGATTTAGGTTTAGTTGTGTATAACAGAAAATAGAAAATAATAGTGATTTAGGAGATTATTTCTCTGCTCAGTTTAAAAAAAAAACACCTGGAGGTCAGCAATCTAGGTCCTCAGGGCCCTGACTTTCTCCTGGCTTGCTGTTTGGAACCCCATGGATTGTAGCTCACCAGGTTCCTCTGTCCATGGGGAGTCTCCAGGCAAGAATACTGGGGTGGGTTGCCATGCTCTCCTCCAGGGGATCTTCCTGACCCAGGTATTGAACCCAGGTCTCCCACATTACAGGCGGACTCTTTATCATCTGAGCCACCAGGAAAGCCCAGGAATACAGGAGTGGGTAGCCTATCCCTTCTCCAGGGGAACTTCCTGACCTAGAAATCAAACCAGAGTTTCTTGCATTGCAGACAGATTCTTTGCTAGCTGAGCTACCAGGAAAGCCCTTCTCTTGGCTTATCCTCTGCCAAGCCTGCAGTTGATCCTCATCCTCAAGGTTCAAGCTAGCTGCCATACTCCAGTAATCATGTTCTAGACAGCAAGAAGGGAGAAGAGGAGAAAGGCATGCCTTTCCCTTTTAAATAGAGTTAGTGTAAGTCCTTCTCAACACTTCTGTTCATAGATCACTGGCCAGGCCTTAGTCATGTGGCCTCACCCTGCTGCACAGGACACTGGGGAATGCAGCAGCATACCCAACCAAAGACTAGGAGAGGGGATGCTGGGAGCTCACTGCAGACTCTGTCCTACCTGATGTCCTCAGTAGCTGCCTGTTCTTCCTGCAGGATTAGGAGGACAGAGCCAGATTTCATTTAGCCCTGTACCTCCAAGGCACTAGCACAGTCCGATACTTCATGCTCCTCATAGCAGACCCCAGGCACCGCTTCTCACTGTTACCTTCTCTGATACCTTCTTTGTTTGAAGTTGGCCAGTTGACTGTGATTTGGGGCAGGTTTCTTCAACTTCAGAAGATGCTGTTTCTACCTGAGTGACATTAAACTATTCATTCCTCTGCTTCTCAATATCAACTCAACTCAATTCTAAGATAAGTGATGCTTCAAGTTGATTGTTATGGCTAGAACTAGCCTAGAAACTAGGCTTCCCAGGTGGCTCAGAGGTAAAGAATTCACTTGCCAATGCAGAAGACATGGTTTCTATCCCTGGGTCAAGAAGATTCCCCTGGAGAAGGAAATGGCAACCTACCCTTGCCTGGAAAATCCCATGGACAGAGGAGCCTGGCAGGCTGCAGTCCATGGGGTCACAAAAAGAGTCAGGCACAACTTAGCAACTAAAAAAAAAACCCAAAAAGAAACCACAACAGTGGTATGTGAGAGTGGCCTTTTAGGGGAGCCCTCTTCTGTGGCAGCAACTCAAGCTGATCTGAGCGAGTTACCTCCCAGGTTAGGAATGCTGACGTGTTCCTAAAGCCTGCCAGGTTTTGATCATGGGCGGCTATGAAATGGTAGGCTCTTTTTCAAGCAAGGTGAACAGGTATGTGGAAGTGGATGTGAGGTTGATGGATTCTGTTTTAACTATAATGAAAGGAAAGAGAAAGGAGCTAATACCCATGGAGAACCCACTATGGGCCAGGTACTATGCTAAGTGGGTCAACTCCAATAACCCTCAAGATAGCCCTAAGAGGTATGTGTAATTATCTCCATTTTCCATGTGACTGATCCTCAGAGAAGTTGATTAGACTCTTCACCGGAACTCAGGCACCAGCCCTTTCCTTCCAGGCACGTTGGAAGAATCAGCACCAGTGTGTGCAAGATTTCCGCGCAGTGCCCAGCCTGTCACTCAACAAACCCTGTAGCTGCTACTCAGTTCCTCCCTCCTATGACAGTGAAATCAGTCCCAGCTCCTGAGTGTGAGGTTGCAAGAGACCTCGTTCCATTCCTTGACCTCCTCCAAATCTTTTGAAAGTTCTCAAAACTGAAGAGCCAGGCTGCCTGCTTTCCTGCAATCCTCATAATTAGGACGAGTGCTTAATTGGCATGTTTGTTTCCTCCAAGGGGTGGTTGGCGGAGGCGCCTCACACGACAGAGGAGGCTGGATCTGCTTTTGTTCTTAGCAGTACTGCGTGCCCATAGCAACAGTGAGCAAATCTGGTAAAGTTGAAAGAAAAAGTGCCCCAGAGTTTGCGTGAAGGTTGATTGCCCTGGAGAAGCTGACGCAGTCGTGCAGATGGAGATGATCTCCCTGGGTCCTGAAAACTGTGCTCATCAACTCCACAAATCTAAACTGTGTCTCTTGTTTTCTTTAAGACAAGGAGTCCAGTCAAGAGGTCTGTGTAATGAAAGATGTTTGTGGAATCCATTTCCATTCTGCCCGAAGCCATCTGCTTTATGTCTAAAATAAACAGGGATGTTTTCAACCACTTTCCCTGGGCCGGGTCCCATTAGAGTTACTCTCCACGGGGAAAGGTAAATTGACTGCCTTCCCAGCAATGAGCATTAGTACATTACGTCTGCACTGACAACACTTAACCTTCCCAGCTCGCCTTTCCTTTCTGTATCTCTGCAATGGCCTGTGACAAATGGGTTGAGGGTTGCATTTGTTAGAATTTAGTGCGTGTGGGGTCACTGTCCAGCATCACATTACCTGGTGATTGAGGTGAAATGTAGGCAGTGAGAAAAGTCATCCTCTTGGAAGCTGGGGCCTGCCTAACCTTTGCCAGGCAGAGGGCCCTGGGGGTAGCAGCCATCCTGGAGTTTGTTTCCTGACACACCATCCTGGGGGTTCTTGAGAGCCCTTAAAATCCTTCAGAGGTTCCTCATTGCCTATAAGATGAAATCTAGACACCCCTCCAGACCCCTTGGAGGCCTGCGTGATCCTTGCACCCTCTGCATCCTCACCGTGGGCCACCTGCACATCAGCTCACATCACATAAGGTCACATGGACAGTGTGTTCATCACCTTCTTTAAGTGGTGGTTTCTGAACCTTTGCAATGCTGGTCCCTGTGCCCGACACACTCTTCCATATCCTCTTTACTGGCTCAATCCCTGAGCCTTTCCTGCCCCAGTTTGAAGGTCACCTCAGAGAGCTTGCCCCAAAGAAGTGAGTGTATGAGTTTCTTGCGACTGCTGTAACAAACTACCATGCCTTATTGGCTTAAAGCAACACAATTTTATTTCCTTATAATTCAGGAGGTCAGAAGTCTGAAGTCAAGGTGTCAGCAAGGCTGCACGCCTTCTCGAGGCTCTAGGCAAGACTCTTGTTTCCTTGTGGGTCCCACGTGCACTGCTGGGCCACGGCCCCTCCCTCCATCTTCAGTGCTAGCAGCAGGGTATCTTCTTGCCTCTTGATCTCTCCTTTGGTCCTTATGTCTTTCCCTGTGTGACTGTCTTGCCTCCCTCTTATTAGCACCCTAATCATGTTAAAATTGGGCCCACCTTGGGTAATCCAAGGTACCCTCTGCATTTCTGATCCTTAATTTAATCACACCTTCAAAGTCTTCTTGCCTGGCAAAGCCACAACTGATGACCATCAGGGCAGAGGAATGACCTTGGTGTCAGTGTGCAGGAGGCCCGTATATCCCTGTTCATGGGATCCTGGCATCAGAGGTGGTACAACAGGGCAGGAACATCTTGTTGGATTTCAGTCTGAGTTGGGTAGACTGCGGTCTTGGGGAGGGGCCTTGGGTGCTTCTGGGAAGCTGGAAAGGTCAGCTTATATCCCTGGAAGGCACAGTCTTGACTGCTTGGGACAAAAGCAAAGAGAGGAAGTCACTATCTGAAAAGGAGGTTGCTTGGTCAGAAACAGTCCCTCATTCTCTCATTCATGCCACACACATTCCTGAGCACCTGTGTGCCAGCACTCTGCAGGAGTTAAAGGCCTAGATGGATAAGAAACTTCCCTGTAGGAGTTCACCTTCCACTTGAGGAAGAGCAACATGGAAACAAAGCAATGACAGGTCTGTGCTCTGACAAAAGAAGGAAGTGATAAATGTGTAATATGTAACAGGTGCAGTTAGTACAGTGAGAGAGGGAGGCATTGGGTAGAGACTGAGGAGAAAGCCTTGAAGACAGGAGCAAGATTGGCGTTTCAGGTCATTGGAAGAGCATTTCCACAAGTGAGAAGAAAGGAACATTGTGTTGTATTTGAGGAGAGGATGAGAGGCTGTTGGGCTTCCCAGATGGTACAGTGGTAAAGAATCCACTTAATACAAGAAACACAAGAGACATGGCTTCAATCCCTGGTTCAGGAATATCCCTTGAAGGAGGGCCTGGCAACCCACTCCAGCCAGAGGAGCCTGGCAGGCTACAGTCCATGGGGTCAGACAAAGCGCTGGACACGACTGAGCACACAGCATGACGAGATGCTGTTGGGATGACTGTACAGTAGGAGGCGGGATCCAAAGGTGGAATCTGTTTGCCTTGCCTCCAGCTTAATGATAAATTCCAAGAAGACCGTGTGCCACTTTCTCTACTTGTTAAACCCTTCAGCTGCAATTACTGCTTGTTCTTTGGACCTCCCATTAAATGCTTCTTGATGAGAAGCGTTTCTCAGTAGCAAAAGTCCCCCATGCTTGCTTCATCTCACTGGATACTATGACATGATAGAGCAGATGACTCACTTTTTTTTTCTCTTTTTAATTCTGTTTTATAGATGAGTCACTTATGGTGTGCATCCAGCTCTTGAGATGTGCTCAAATTTGAGCCGGGTTTATTCTCTGGTGGACCCCAGCAGGGAATCTGTCTCAGTCCTGTCATTGTATTTCTCTGGGTTTGGGCTTGGGAGGGTGTTTAGTTGAAGCCAGCTGGAGTGTACAAATGATGCAACAATGCAGGTGCCCTGACTTCATTCCTGAGCCTGGGAACGTGTGCTCACTGCACCTCCTGCCTGAGGCACGGTTGGGACAGGGTAAGTCACTCTCAGAGCAGCATGGCTCCATGTGCCCACACAAGGAAAGAAAAGACAGACAGACAGTTGCTACATGTGATTTATTCTCCTTCCCATCATGGCACTGTGTCACATTGATGCCAGCATTCAAACTAATGTTCTAATTTACAGTTTCTGGGGACTTAGGGAAAATGCATCAAAACCCCAGGTTACCTGAGATGCTGCAGTTACATGTTTTAAGGGCTCTAAAAACATGATATTTTGTCAAAATAAAATAGAATTTTGAAAGGCCTCCTAACAATTGTTAAAAAAAAAAAAAAGACAAAAACCCAAACCAGCCATCCTCTTCAGCTACACCCATCACAAGGCTGCTCCTGTGAGTAGCTCAGCACACTCTGCAAATACTCTCTCATTAAAGATTCGCCCTCCCCTGGGAAAAACCAGGGGTAGCAGCTCTCACATGCAGGCTACTTTCTTCTCACGTAGCAGGGGGTGTCCCTGCTGCCTCAAAGGAAGTGGGAACCACAGCCCTTCTCAGTTGAGACTTTTTTTATCTTCACACCACTGTAGCTCAGAATACTCCCAGGACAACTTCTCTATGTACCTGAGAAGGTGCTTAAGCCTTCCCAGTACCAGGACATGAGTCCACTTGCCAATGCCCTTTCAGTCTCCACCCAGGCCTCCTCTGGGCCAGGCTCTGTGCTGGAAGCTGAGATCAAAAATGAAGAAAACACCACTCCTGCTCTTAAGGGGCTTACTGTCTAGTTGGGAAGACAGACACAAGAGCAGGTTTTTCCAAAAAATGTGGTATGTGACTTACTAAAGGTAAGCAGAGATCAGTTAGCCTAGGTGTCAGAAAAGCCATTGTGGCAGATGTTGTGAATTAGCTAATCCAATTCCCAACTCCCTTTCCCTTGCTGCTTCCAAACTGGAGGCTACAAAGCTAAAGACTTGCTCTACCAGCTTCTCTTGCCTAGAGTGGCCACTCAGCCTGTGGCCATGAGGCAGAAGCAAAATCTACAGAAAATTTCTTTAAAAACTTTTGTGTTCTTGCTTAAGAGGATTAGCCAGTCTGTATAGCTCCTTGCTCCTTCTTCTTGGCTTGATTATAGTCATGATGGATATGGCTACAGCAGCAATCTTGTGACCATGAGGGAAAAGCTGAGCAAATTGTAGGTCATTGTTGAGCCAGTGATCCAGTGCCAGCTGCTGCCTACTTCTAGATATTTCATCATGTGAAAAACAAACCTTTATTTGTTTAATTCATTGAGATTAGCTTCTGGACCTTGCAGCCAAATACCTCCCTAACTGATACAAACACCTAGCAGGCAGTCAGGAGATAATGATTGAAGTCACATAAGTAATATGATCACCTGAGTTGAGTCTTAGCAGATTGGGATGTGCTGTGAGTATTCCAGTTAGAGGAAATTAAAGTAGCATATATTGGGTTGGCCGAAAAGTTTAAGATGTTATGGAAAACCCAAACAAACTTGTTGGCCAACTTAAAATAGAAGCACTTGAAGTTAAGCAGGAGGCCATGAGGAGCTCACAGAGAAACCACTGACAAGGAGTTTATCACAGCTAGAGTGTGAAGCAAGTAGTAGTTAGATACAGCTGGTACAAGTGGCAGCAGGGGCCAGATTAAAACAGTTTCTTCCAGTGCAGAGAGGACCGAGGTTCCAGTAACCAGGGACTCTCCATGTTACCCTTTTAACTGCAGAATTACAGCCAAGGTCAACATAGCAAGAGGCATAGGGAAGAAGTAAATGCATTCCTTTTGTTGGTCATTCTATTAGTTACCTGTTGCTGCATAACGAATTACCCCCAAACACAGCAGCTTAAAATGTCACACACTGATCATCTCACAGTTTCTGTGAGTCAGGAATCTAGAGGCAGGTCCACTAAGTTGGAGTGTCTGGTTCAGAGTCTCTTACAAGGTTATAGTCAAGGTGTCCATGGGGCTGTGGTCTCATCTGAAGACTCAGCTGGGGAAAGATCCACTTTCCACGTTCTCTCCCATGGTTGTTAGCAGGACTCAGTTCCTCACAGGCTGTCATTACCAGAGGAGTTTCAATTTCTTGCCCCGTGGGTCTCTCCATGAGGCAGCTCACAACATAGCAGCCAAATTCTTTAGAGTGAGCAAGAGGGAAAGTGAAAGAGGTGAACAAGAGGGAAGCCAGAGACTTTGTAACCTTCTCTGAGAAGTGGAATCCTCTAAGGAGGATTCTACTGGAATCCTCACTAGAAGCAAGTCAGTAGGTCCTGTCCACACTCAATGAGAGGGGTCTACAGATGAATACCAGGAAGTGAGGATCACAAGGAGCCTTTTTGAAAGCTGCCAATCACAAACATATTGCCACCACCTTTCCCCTTTCCCTCCTACATTACTGGGGTTAACAGCAACATCTTACTTACCATTGCATCATCATCATCACAGTGACAGTGGTTATTTATTAAATGCTTGTTGTGCACCCAGACGTTTTCCATCCATAGTTCATTTATCCTTACAACAACCCCGTAAGTGTAATAATATCCCCATTCTGCATATGAAGAAACTGAGGCTTGAGAGGGACTGTGATTTGCACTAGGTCACATAACCAGTAAGGGGCAGAACTTGGATTCAAACCTAGGCCTAAACTCCAATGGGGCACTTCACCAACACTGTAGGAGGCAGTGCCTCAGAGGTAAGAGAGCCCTGTCTGCCAGCCTGTCCAGGAGTCCAGGCTGTTTTCTGCTTTACTTTAACTTTAAACTTCAACCTCTTTACTTTAACCTTACTTTAACCAACTTTCCCTGGTGCTGACAGCTACAGAGCAAGGGGACAAATGGGTGGGCCTAACCACCTCAGAATGCTTGGACTCCAGATAAAGGACAATGGGTGAAATCAGGAAAGATCTGTAGATTAGATACTAGTATGTTAGCAATGTTAATTTTCTGATTTTAATCATTTCTGTGCTAAGAAAATGTCTTTGCTCTTAGAAAATACATACTGAAGTATTTAGAGGTAAAGAGATATTGTGTCTACAACTTATTTTCAGACATTTCAGAAAAATAATTCTTTATAGGTATATCCATGTATGCATGTGTATATGGAGAGAATGAATAAATGATATAGCAAGTGTGGTAAGATGTTAACATCTAGGGATTCTGTGTAAAGAGTGCATAGGAATTCTTTGTACAAATTTTGCAGCTTTTTTTGGTAAGTCTGAAGTTATTTTAAAATAAATTTTTAAAAAGTACCACTCCTCTACTCTGGGGCATTGTGACTTCTATTTGGACTATCAGAGGTGGCATTTGGAGCATCTTACATACTCCTCTGTTGACCCTAAAGTGACCCTCAAAGCACAGGAAGAGTATAGAGTAAGAGGGTACAAGAAAACATGGTTTCTAGGTCAGGCTGCCTGGGTTCCAGTCTTGACCTTGCAGCTTCTAAGCTCCCTGAGCTGTATAATGTATAAGTAACCACTCAGAATTGACTTGAAAAGATTTGTTGAGATAAGGGATATACTTTGGCTCAGATCCTGGCCCATGGTAAGCCTCCTGTAAATGCTGTTATTCTTGCCTCCTCAGTCATCTTACAAGTAAGAAATAATGGCCTGTATGTGCTTCAGAGACACTGATTTGGACAGTTGTCTTTCCCTTTTTTAACCTACAAAAACTTTTTTTTTATATCTGATAAGATTTTCCTACATAACCACAACAGATGATCATAAAAATTAAGAAATACATATTAACTGTAATGTTTAGATGCCATTCAAGTTTCACAGTTATTTCAGTAATTGTACACTTGTCTTGGTGCCAACTCTCTGACGTGAGTTTTTGTCCCAATGAAGGCAGGGTGGCTGAAGCAGCGCGTGTGGATGTGTCTGACAGGATGAAGAGCCGAATCCCTGTGGTGCTGCTGGCCTGTGGCTCCTTCAACCCCATCACCAACATGCACCTGCGCTTGTTTGAGGTGGCCAGAGACCACCTTCACCAAACAGGTCAGTCAAGGGGCCCAGGCCTATGGGGGGAACTGATGAGCTGGGCTTTTTGGGGCTTTGCTGGCTGCTGTCATCATCCCCATTATTAAAGCTGCTCATAGCATAAGTGGTGACATACATTTCTTCCATCATATTCAGAGGGCTAACACTCCTTAGCCATATGATGTATGGAAGTCATATCCCTGGCCATAGAGTTGAAATGCTTCTCAGGATCCACTACCCCCTGTCCACTTCATGTTGACCATGAATGCTAAAAAGACACTGGGCCTGTTATAGAACCTGTGTCTCAATCAGGGGATCCTTCCTGGTGCCCAGGAAGCATTTACCCAAACAGCCAGATGAATACATAGCACATGCCTTTGAGAACTCCTGCTACTCTTCAGTGGGTAAGCAAATATTCTATAATGGGGATTTTGACATTTTCTCCTTTGAAAGAATAGACCTTAGACAATTACAAATTAAGTCTTGTATATAGGGCATTTCTAATACAGATGGCATGGCTTTGCCAGAAATATCTAATCAGCTGGAAATGTTTAATCTGGGAATGTTTCATCTCTTTGACTTTCCATTTCATTATTAAAAGAGTAAAATGGCATTTGGGATCTGCTTGATTATTTCTAAAGACTGTAAGTCATTTATATGTTGATGTCAGATACATATGAAAGTTTTATTCATTATGTGTTTATGTNGTCATTTATTTGTTGATGTCAGATACATATGAAAGTTTTATTCATTATGTGTTTATGTCTGTCTTATGTCTGGAGGAGGAAATGGCAACCTGCTCCAGAATTCTTGCTTGAAAAATCCCATGGACAGAGGAGTCTGACAGGCTACAGCCCATGGGGTCACAAAGAACTGGACATGACTAAGTTACAAAACACAATATCTTAC